ATGGGCCTGATATCCATGATATTTATGCTTACGATTTTTTAAGCAAAATATCCAATCAGAGAGCATGCAGCATTTAGATTGACAGTTTGTTTGGTGAAATTTAGCAGGTCTTTTTTCACATTTATTTTTGTTTCACAACAATTCTCAAGTGAAAGATTACAAAAACTCATATACAGTTTTAAATTCCATCCATCCATTTTCTACCCCTTAATCCATTTCTGGGTTGGGGGGGTGGCAATCAGAGATGCCAACCAAGTCACACAGCACCAGCCCCTCACTGAACTCTCCTGCACATAGATATCCCATACAGACATCTGATCGGTGACCTGTCCCATGGTCCAAAAAGCCTGTGCATATATAGGACACAATAAATTGAGTTGAGAAGGGCCAAAAAACACACTCACACATCCACTCAGGATTTTCCCAAATTTTGAGCAAAATCCGCCCTGCTCAGAGGGAACGCTTATTAAAACCAGTGGGGGCGGGTCCCGGCTCAAAAGTGGCCAAAATGACGTGCGCTGACATGCTTGCAATACCACCCCGGGCCAATGGAGGTGGACCCAGAATAAGAATTAGCCAATGCAAACATATAGCATTAGCTGACCTCTCGAAAACGTCTTTACAGGATGGTCCAAAAGTTGGCTCTTGGCCCAAAGCTCCGTTCCACATGTGTGTCAATGCTGAGGGGGGTGAATTTTTTTGGACCAGTCTGGTTTAGTCGCTGTGAATTTTTGAAGTCACTCGTTTAAATGAATGGAGCTCGTGCCGACTGACGCATGCGCAGATGCGTTTTTTCACAATTTTCCAGCCCCCGCGGCCATTTTGAAACTGCCCATAGACCGCGGAAGTTGTGGCACATTAGTTAGAATGGCGGAGAAAGGCGTGACTACATCCGTTAATATTTACAGTCTATGATTAAAACGTGTCTCGCATATGACCAGAATGATTGACAATTAGGAGGACAAAAACTTTGGATGATCCACCCTGAAGAAATTCCTCTCATATATGATGTGTTGTGTGCTCCTCATTCCTACTGTTTTTTAACTTGTGATGCAACACTTAACTACCCCCACTGTGGGAAAGAATCTCTTAATCTTAATCTATCTTTATTTATTTGTTTATTTGACATGGACATTGCACAATAAATGTGTTGTTCAGACCCGATATTGCTACAAACTCATTTTCGCCCTGCAGAAACAGGTTTGGTTTTGTATGTCTTTTAGTCCGGTGGTCAATCTGAATTGAATTACACTTCATTTGCAGTTCTGTATTTTAGGTTCCTTTTTCTCATTTCACCACATGACCCCTGTACTCCATGGACTAACAAAACATCCCTTTAACCCCAGTTTCCCGAGACAAAACCACACGCTTGAGACTTGGCAAATTCTCACAATCAATGCCCCATGCGACAAATAATTCAGGCCATTATTTCCGAGAACGGGGATTTCACCAGAGTACACGGAACACAGTTGGGTAGCTTGCCAGGAGCCACACTTTTCCAGGTCAATATTTGAAGCAGAGAAATACTTTGCCTCTGAGTCGGTCGTCGGCGTGTGGATATGAGAAAAATAAATTGTGATCAAGTAAATGCGGTTTTATGTGAGCCAAGATATGCGCATATGAAACACCTGCAGAAGAATGGGTCTGTCAGAATTCATTAGCGTCTTGGTTAACACATCCCCGCTGCCAAGTCGCGGGGCTGGTTTGGAATTAGATTTGAAGCAGAATTTGTTGTAAATTTGTTGAATATTGTGAAACCAGCCAGGAGGAGTCTCTTTGAGAATCTGTATCAAATGGTCTTGTTGGTGGATCAGTTAACTCCATTAGCTCCAAATCCTTTCACTTTACAGGAGATGAACTGTGTTCCTCCTGGCTCTAAGTGAGAATTGCTTTGGTTAATGTTGTCGTGAACTATAATAAAACTACCAATGACTTGTTCCTACAAAAAAAAAGAAAATACTTGGAGGTTTGACCCATGCTGTCAGAAATCTTCAACACTTATCTGCACTCTTATAATAAGTATATAATGGGTTTCTTTGGCCATTTTATTTGTCTTATATAAAAGGTATACAACAGTGGCACAACAATTAGATAGATATTTGTCACACACAATGTTAACAATAACATGTAGTGAAACACACAAGGCCCCGGACCTTGTGTGTTTCACTACATGTTATTGACCGTATTGTTCAAATTCTACCTCCAGGCCTTTCAGTGTGGAGTTTGCATGTTCTCCCTGTGTCTGCGTGGATATCCTTTGGGTGTTTGGCATCTAGCTTCTGTCATCACTGTGTGTGGGGGAAGTTACTGGTACATAAAAAATTGTTGCGCAATACTGTATATACACAAATTACTTATGACTAATTGGGCTCATTTTAAGATTTCTACAATCGCATTGCATTTATTGTTATGCATGTCCCACTGCAGAGGGCGTTGCCAACATCAATTACAGTGTTTTGTCCAAAACTATGGTGGTAACCAAGCTAGGTCACCCTACGCTGGTGAATAATGCAATTTGAAGGGTCTTTTTATTATGAAAAGCAATATATAAGTACAAAGATGTATTTCTATTTTTTTATTATTAAGTGAAAGTTTGTTTTCAAAATGTAAAGATGGTAAGACAAGTTGGATCCGCCCCCAACAGATTTCGGATTAGACACATTGTTTCAAATTGTTCACAATCGTAGACAACTATGTAAAATATTGGTATTTGTACTACAGGGTCATATGGTCAAAAATATGTAAAAAAAAAAAAAACTTTTGAAGTTGCAGACATCCCCTTTAATATGTTGGAATTAACACACTGTATAATCGCTTTAGGACAGGGGTCTCCAACCTTTTTTAATCAGAGAGCTACTTTTATACAAACAAACAGGCAGAGAGCTACTCATTTTTACAGTCATAATGAAAATGGATCTAATAATTACGACTAAACTTGGAGAACACATATAAAATACACCATATTACTGTTTAACCCCCTTATAATAGATATGTAATGGGTCAAAAAGTATTCGTTTAAGTGTATTTGTTAAAGTCTAATTTCTTTGGCGAGCTACCTGTAAGGGGCTGGCGAGCTACTGGTGGCTCCCGAGCTACAGGTTGGAGACCCCTGCTTTAGGATGATCACCGAATGATGAATCGTAACACCTGTGAAACATCATTTTAAATCTGTTTATTAAGAGATAAGACAATACAAATAAAACAACCCAAGAAGTCACATCACCAATAGTTCATCATAGATACAAAATCATTTGAATACATTCCACCGCGTAGTGTTCGGAGCTACATTTTCCGCGTTCGACATAAGGCAACGGAATCAATCATCTTAAAACAACTGCTGATTCAGACGAAACTCGTGCGGGACGTCCCGACCAGCTGCACGGGTCAAGTTATAAGCAGCGTGATGTTCTCCCGCATGGTGATCCGTCATATTGCCCCGGAGCCAGAGCACCGGGAGTAATGAGCCTTTACATTACTTTCAGCTGATACGACGCAAACTCTATTTTTGCACAGTCAAATTGCACTTCGATTTGCAGCTAACAAAGACTCAGCAACATTCGTCTAATGTCTAATCGATATGTGTCAAAATGTCCCCCGCGTCTGATAATGGATCTGACAGCGGTGGCATAGAAAGAGGAAGCGCACACAAATCGACAGGCATAATAATACAAAAAAAAAAGAAACAAGGCAGGTTAGAAAACAGCATGATTTAAACCTGAAATATGACACCTTACAAAAAAAAAACCTCAGGAGAGAGCCAGCCGAATGTAAAAAGCATTGTGCAAAGTATTAAGTACATTTCATAATAAGCATGTCATTTTCTTATGTTTTAAAAGGGTTACAATTGAGCATAAAAAAATATATAAAAGTGGTTTTCAAACTGCAGCACGACTGGTTAAAGGGAAGGCCTCTACATTTCTCATACTTGCCTAGAGCTGGGAAAACTAACTCTTGCGTTTCATAAATAATACATTTTACGAGTATTGAAACAAATCAGATAATATGCGGTCTTTATCTGTTGCATACTTGGATACTAAGGAATAACGCTGTAAGTCACTATTTTAAAACTTTGGGCTGTAAGCTGAATGAGAGGGGTCCGATGTTTTTCACTTTTCTGTCTGAAAATGTGTATCTGATTTAAAGATTCGACAGATGCCTTAATTTAAAGGTTTTCATTCTAAAGTCCACAGCGGCAAAACTAGGCTGGTCCAAAAAAAAAAAAAAGCCCTCAGCCTTGAAACGCCTCTGGAACGTAGTGTTGAGCCAAGAGCCGATTTTTGGACCAGGCTGTAAAGCAGTTCTGTTTCCGGGTACACCACCACCGGCAAGGAGTCAGATTACAGGCATGTCAGCGCACGTGCTCATAAAGCTTTCTGAGCCGGGACTTGCCCCCCCCACTGGTGAGGATAGGATAGGGTCACACGGTTTTGAGGGCTAGGATATTCATATTGCATAGGTCAATCTCTTGTGGTTTGAAAGTTAGGTTCCCCGAGGTCAATTCTCAAATGTTGTCAAGAACTACAGTAGCGATGGCTTAGTCCAGATATAGACCAGGGATCGACTGGAATTGTTTTACGACTCGTGTGAAAGTTTGAGAACCACTGTTGCAGCATTTTCTTATTAAATGGATCAGACATCAGTGTCCAAATCAGCAGACATCAGCAGAACAATCAACAACATCATGGGAATGGAAAAAGAACATTTGTGAATAGCATCTTAAGGCATTTCAAATATTTCATAATTATTTGCTTTAAAATAAAATGAATAACCAAAAGAAAAAAAAAATGATCAAAATGTATTGAATCCATTTTGTTTACCGTCCACCAGAAATAACTCGCTCCCACCAAATACAAAGTGACATTTTGAAATGACTGAAAGTTTGTGAAGAGACAGGATACAGCAGTGCTCTTGTCATTAGAAGATGTAGATGTAGAATTATCGGAAGAAGATGAAGCTGAAAACACAGAGCAGCAGAAAGAGGCTGTTGTGCATCACGGGGCATGCTCCATGGAGCGGCCAGAGTCACGGTCATCCAGATCAGGAAGGTCCAGTGGGTTGGCTCTCGGCACGGGCAGCCTGCAACACACGGAGCAGAGGCATCGTTATCAAAAGAGGAGTTCACAGACTTTTTAATCAAACAGTTCATTACTTGTACAGATCATCACAAACTTTTCCTAATCGATTTTATAACCTGAAAACATACAGCACAAGGTACAACATCAAAAAAATAAAATAGTTTATGTGAAATCACAACATACCAAAGAGCCTATAGTTTATAATTGTTGTGCAGGGCAGCAGCAAAAACTTTCCTGGTAACTATGGTAACTGTCAGGAGTCAGACCTTTAGTCTTAGATTCAAGAAATGGCAATGTCTGGTCCATTCCACAAAAGGTTTTGCACAGTTCCACATCTTATTTGTCAGTTCACCTCAACTAAATGCTCACATGTTGTTTATCAACATATCTTTAAAAAAGTTGTGTTGGCACATGCAAGTAAACAAGTAATAGTAGTGCATGGCTTCACAAAGCATTATTCTTTCACTCAATACATGCTGCTGTAGCCACAGTTGTCCTGGGGCAGACTGACCACCACCAACCATTCACACACACACACACACACACACACACACACACACACACACACACACACACACACACACACACGCCTGAAATGAACAAGAACGCATCCTATACCAACAAAACCATTTGATTTTATTCTACCCTTGTGTGCAAAAAAAAAAAACAAAAAAAAAATCCACATACAATTAACAGCAAAAGCAACAAACTAAGTTACTAACAGTTTTCTCACACCTCATCAAATAACGTAAAATGACTGAGGCGTAGGCCACATCACAGAATTCCAAATTCCCGACTAAAACCATGCAGCATTGAGGGATTGCGTACATCTCTTAAATAGTTCAAGATGTTGTTCATGAGCGCTCAGGGCGGTGCGGTCGCGTGTCACCCGAGGACTCCTGCCAGCGTTTGATTGGCTCTCCTTTTAATGACATCACCTGCTGATGCCACTTGAGTCAAACCTTCCTTTCTAATTGCGCGCTGACCGCAATCCAAGGAGACGCCACAACTCCTCGAATTTACGCTCCCGCAAAAAAAAACCCCCAAAAAAACGCTACAGTGCATTTTGGTGCCGTGCCAAAGAAAGTGATGGAAGCTTTGATGGATTTACAAAACAAAATGGTTGGCAATAAAGCACAGTTAAGTATTCCTGAATGATAGATTTTCTCGCCCGCAAAAACTTCTGAATGCACTTTCCAGCCCACACATGCGTACGCGGTATATGAGGGAGCATAATAAAGCTAAGATATAATCAGCATCAATCAAAGGCCGCCTTAAGTAGAAATCATCCATTCTGTCGCGCACGTATTAGCGCGCTCGGCGGTGACAGAGACAGAGTGGGAGCTAAATTGCAGAGACCTGTAGCAATCAGAAGTGCGGCTGATAGATTCAATTTCACAAGTAGACGGTCCACGCTCATCGGACGCACTAATTGGACAAAGTCGCAAGGGTGATGGAGGGTGGCAACTTTCCCTTAAAACTTTTCTCGGTGTAACTTTGAAAGAGTACATATTGTATTACAAGCCGACTTTTAATGCACAAAATATTTTCCGGTTTAGTTCCTCGCTTTCAAAACAGTTTGGTTCTGTCACTAGTTGCATGTATTTTGGCCTCAGTCACATCTTTAGATCAGCGTTTTCCAGACAGAAAAGTGAGAAACACAGGACTGCCCACACTCGGCCAATCAGCTCTCAGCCCAAAGTGTCAACTAGTGATAGCTTTTTCTATGGCAAATATTTTCTTGTGGTCTGATTTGTTCACAACATATTACTTTTACAAGACTATTTCTGTTGGAGCAAAAACATGGATTATTAATGGGAAAAAAGTTAGGTACCCTACAGCTTTTTGGGCCAAATACGTTGATGTTGCATGGATGTATATGCTAAGAGTTCTAGTTCTGAGTGTCTTGAACTAAACTGCTGTATCACGTTTGATGATAACCACAATTTCAATACTGCATACATTATATATAGATTTAGACTTTCCAATGTTTTTATTTTTTAGGAGTCGTTCCTTGCCAATGCAGGAGGGTCGAAGGGATGTAGACTTTGGTCATCTCACTCCTTATGGACCAAAGGCTTCTGTGCGTTTGCTATTATTGCATTTCCTGTATTTGAACGGTTTGATTCCGTGATCTGTTGTTCGCAAAACAACAGATCACATCCTTCGAAACGACTGCTGTGATTTGCTGTACAAAAAATATATCGAATTGAATGAAATGATGTATGGCCTGTTTTAAATGGCACAAATTCAGTCGTCTCGAATAAACCCATAGATTGATCCATAGATCCATATGCACATTTTTCCATTGTAAAATCAATAAGCCTATCTTATCTTAGATTGCAAAGTTAATCAAAAGATCAAACACATCTATATACATATGTATTAATACCAAGAGTCTTCAGAGCATTTACTTCTAAAATATTAATAAGAAAAATGCATAGGTCTTAATTGAGGACCATATGATTAATAGATTCATACATTTGAAAGTGCAAAGCCAGCACTGTGTGGATTCTATATGGGCTGCAGTTAAATTTAATCAGACTCCAGGCTCTTTACAGTTATGCCATTTAATTTGGGGACTTAAATGTTTCCATCAAAGCTTTCATTTCATTTGACCTTGAGGCGGGACGGCTGTGATTTATAGTCTTGATTTTACAGCCATCTGTCAGAGAAAGCACATTTCATTCACTCCCAGTTCCTGGCTCAGCAGCATTGATGTACTGGTGGAGTGGCACCCAGGTTTGCCAAAGTGTACGGACCTAAGTGGACTGACATTTAGTGATATCGTTGAGTGACGTCGGTTAGTATTGAGCTCATTCTTGTGCGTTTAATGTTATGAGAATAATATGGTGGCTCTATTGTTCTAATTGTCCCTCACTCAAATGGCTCTTGTTTGAATCCAATGTCAAGGGAATCCTGGATAATTAGTTATTTATTACATACATGAGCGGTTATGATTCCATGCCAGGAAAAATGAAGAGGTAATTGGTGTATTGAGAAAACTAATCGGTTATAATTACCAATTACACAGACGCAAACACAATTTAGCGAAACAAGATTGCAATTAACATTAAATATGAAAGCGAATCTTCTTAGAACAAATCGAACGATGCGTTTTAAGACGGCCAAATTTAGGCATATTCCATCATCATTAGCAGACTAAAATTAGCGCTCGGGAAAATGACCGTTTTCACCTCCTCCTCTTATCTACCCACATCCAAGGCATAATTGAATAGTTTAAAGAAAAAAAAGAACAAAAAAACAAAAACCTGATCCAGACCAATCCATCACTTTGATGTTAGAACCAATCATATCTGCAGCACACTTTTATCTCACATTGACTTTTTGGATTCCTGCCCATAAACGTTATATGCACCTTATTCCGTAGAAGCGCTAACAAGAATCCACTGGCCGCTCCCTTTCTCTTATTATTTTGGCATAGACTATGATTATCTTCCTTCACTTGGCACAGAAAAAAATCCACCAATAACTTAAATGAGAAAAGTTGTGCTTCTCGGAGCTGACAGATTTTTTTTTTCTCACTTAAATATTCAAATGAACTCACATCCACAAAAATAAACAATGATTTTTATATTAGCTCATCCACACCTACCTATGTGCCGCCAATTTTAGTGACTGCCAACGGAAAAGACTGTATAATGTTGACTTACATGATATAATATTACACCATCCCATTAATATTCACAGATATATTCCTGGCAAAGAACCCAGTGCATTTTATATCCTAGCTAAGCACCGCGCCTCTGCTCCATCCCATAATCAATTCTGGTTCCTTACATCGGACGTCATCTCCTCCCTTCGGCCTGCACTCCACATTTTAGTAATCAGCTCCACCTGTTCCCACTCACCTTCCTCCCAACGCCATCAGTCACCGGCGAGATAAGGTTTTCCTACACGCTTTGAAAACCTATTGTTGGTGATTGTCTCAAGTCGGATCGTTGCTTAGTGCCGTCTCGAGTCTGTCCAAATACTTAAGTGATGTCAAGATTGTTTGGTTAACCCTTTAGGCGCCAAACTAGAAGAATGAAATGAGCTCTTGAATCCTTTTCTATACAGCGACCTGGCAGAACACAAAAATGTTGCAATATTTTTGTTTACCACAAATCTTGGGTTATTACTTTTTTCAAGCGCTTAGACGCCCAAGGTTTCTTTATCAAAGCGTCTAATTTATGGATATTTTGTGTGTTAAAGACAAAACAAACATAGTGTTGTATTAAATATAGACTAAAGGCAGATGTGAATTTGATTGACCCGGAATTGAACTCTGTCTCTTTCCCAAGCAAAAAGACCTGGTCTCCCCTTGTTCCTTGGTAGTCCAAAAGTGCAGAAATATGAGTTAATGATAGTTAATATCTGGGGGGATTCTGCTAATCCTTTCGTTGTTTGAAGAAGGAGGTGGACCTTGAAAAGCCTCCTGTCTTATCTCAAGGAAGTAATATTTCTATAGAATTAGGGAGGGGTAGTGCATGAATGATTTCTGTTTAGGTCTGGCGAGACTGAGGAAAGGCCGGACCCTGGACCGGAAGCTGCCTGATACGACACGCCCCCTTCTTCCTGGACATCTGCTCTTTTTATGCTTAGGCTGGAGGCTTGGAGTCAGTCAGAGCAGGGATAGAGACAGAGAACATGGCAGAGCGCCTGCATGTTCTCTGCACATTTTCAGGCCTGGAGGGAAAGTTTTTAGGATGGCTCAGCATAGGGTTAGTTTTAGAGAATTAATGGCTCCAAGGGTTTTGTATCGATATTTAATTGTAAAGAGAATTAAATGTTCTATTTTTAACTCTTGCATTCTTGGCCTTATTTCTGTATCAAATTCTGAACACGTCAGTCAAATCTTTTTTGACGACAATAGCAATCACTGGATTCCACTCACATACTCTCTGGAACAGTGACATTCAAGCCTTTATGGACTTATTTTGACTCCAAGTTTTAGAAGCAATGTATTCACGTTTAGCGTCAATACAGATTGGTAACACGCTGACACTCCATTCACTGCCGACATGGAAGCTAACAGTTAAGGTGAGCATAGTATGCTCTTGGTCTTACTAAAATATTGGTATTACCTCTACAACAGAGGGAAATATTCTCTTTTTGGCTGTTCATTTTATAGGGATAGGGTATGGGGTTAGGCTAGGCTCCTGTGGGACGAAATACCAAAATTTTAGTCACGGAGTATATACTGCTGAAACAATCTGGTTCTTCTCACAATATCCCTAATTATTAGTTTTTTGCATCAAATAATTGTGATTTTCGTGTACAAGCCTGAATACTGCATTGTAACTCCCTAGCATATGTATTTATCATACTTTTGACCAGGATGGGTATTAAATGTTAATTGTGTGGCTCTGGAATCTGGAATACTGACCTTCAAAAAGGTTGCAGTACTCTTTTTTTTAAACTTCTCACTTCCTCTACATTGCCAATTGCTAAAATCTGCTCCCTCTCCTCTGATTAGACTCACACGTGTAGCTTCCAACATGCACCTGCTTCACCTGCAGAACTGTTGCTGGGCAGAGAAATTGATTTCCTCTCGAGCGTTGGAGCAGGAAGACTCATATTCCCACTCATCAGTCACCAGTCCAGTGCCATCTGCAGACTGACCAGACGGACAAGCGCCTGCAGCTGACAGATCCACTCACAATGGCCTGGTCCTCCACTTATGAAGTACTTGTGCAAAAATGCATGTATTAACAATATACCCACATTTAAACAATATATTATATGAATAATGGAAAGATGAAAAAAGAGATTTGTAAATATGACTAATACTGGATTACAAAATGAATCATCATCTGTTCATTACAATTACTTATTTTTCAGACCAGTTGGAAAACTGCTAAATCTCGTGTACATATTTGAACACCCTGTAGCCTTTTCCACCACCAGTAATCCCTCTATTGTAACACAAAAAATGGAATGAAAAACAAAACATTCCATTTCAGAGTCCCGTTATACACCATTGATTATTCGTCCCATTCAAAAAACATATTTCAAAATGTAAATCGCTATGGCAACATCCAAACCTCTCATAATTTGATGAAAATCCAATGCCGTTGAATGGTCTTTAAGAATGTACATTGAAGTCTCGCTGTCAATCGCTTCCACTCAGGGTGAATCAGAATGTCTATTTGAACTTCATTATTGTCTGCAAATAAAACTTCCCTATTTCACACTTTCCTTTACAAACTGACACATTTACAATCGGGGGCAGAGCCAATTCCATCATGCACTCAACCAGAACAATCCCTCTGCTCTCCTTCCAGCTTATACATGTATAAAAAAATTTAATTACAAACATATTGACATGACACAAAGTGAAGCTTCCGCCACGGGATGCAAAATGCACTATTTATATTCAGACAATCTTTTCAAAGAATTTGGACACACGGATGTAATAACTTATTTATTCTGCCTGCTGGAAAAAGCTATTACTTTAGAATAAAATGGGATGAAAGCCTGGCTCAGTCCGTAGATCTCCATAATGTCAAAGAGTAGCTCGTATATCTCTAAAGTTCTATGTTCTCTTCCACCCCATCAGTTCGCCTTAGCGGCCCCCGGAGTAAAAGATCACTGCGTCATGTCTGCGAACAGCGGTCTCACTCTTGGAGGCAAAGGGCTTTTTTTTTCTCCAGCCCATAACTTATTCATAGGTTTTAATGCAGTGGATGTATTATTGATGATGGACGACCCTTGCCTCCTCCCCTTTCTGTGGACTCACTGCTCTAAAAAAGGAGAGAGACATGTCCGACACGATAGACGGCCCACTGACACCAACAGAGGACCGCTCGGTGCAATGAGAAATCAAAAAGTACCAAATCAAAACGCCTGTACACATATTCGTTGCAGATACAAGCACATATTTCACTACGGATAGAATTTATAAACGTCATGTGGAAGAGTGCAGTGTTCTGTCCATACCCAAATATGTATATATTAGTATGGAACCCCGACTCCTGAAGTCACAAGGTCTTTTTTTTTCTCTCTAAAGGCACTTACATATTTTTATGGTCAATAGTTTTTATTTTCTATATTGTGCTAGATAGAGATCTGCAGCGTTTAATGGACGTTGCATCTTATACAAAAGTGGTTTGGTTCAGACATTAAAAAAAAAAGGGGTCTGAAAAATAATATAGTGTAATTTCAAATTCTTGGTAAAGGTGATATTAGACCTTTTTTGATGGCACACTATCGGCACACGGGTCCATTGGTTGAAAACAGGTTGTGGGACATTTTATGAAATCTTTGTAGGACATGTTTCCTCTATTCAAAGAGTAATTTTGATACCATTTGGACATTATTGTCTTATACAACTGTTGGCGTTTTTCTGAGACATGATTGTGTAAGTACGACCACAACATAGAACAATGGTCTTTTCTCCACATGAACTGAACAAAGGTGAAGTATTAAGTTTGAGGGGGGGGGGGGGGGGGGGGGGGGGGGGGAGGGGGGGGGGGGGGGGGGGGGGGGGGGGGGGGGGGGGGGGCGGGGGGGGGGGGGGGGGGGGGCGGGGGGGTGGGTGGGGGGGGGGGGGGGGGGGGGGGGGGGGGGGGGGGGGGGGGGGGGGGGGGGGGGGTGGGGGGGGGGAGGGGGGGGGGGGGGGGGGGGCGGGGGGGACTAATTTACAATTTTTTAATGGATCCGACCTGGCTTTACTGGAAAAAAAAGGGAAAACATTTTTGGCGCGTGCTCGAGTTTTTTTTTAAGTAACAAGTGCTCATTAAACATATAGGGGAACCGTCTGTGATAAGCGCCCGAGCAAAAGACCACGTTGGTAAACAATTGAAAGTTGGAAATGGATCCTTGTAGGAAAAATCTCTTAAGCTTGCATGTCTGCAGGCTCTGAAAGTTGCCAACAAAGAAATTAGCTCATTAGACAATGTAATTGGACATGGAAAAATATAACAAAGTTAAAATACAGGCCTTCGGTGTTGTCTACTATGTTTGTCGTGGTGTTATTGTTTGTGTATGTTTATGTTTGTGCGTCATGTCAAAGTACACTACGTTGACCTTAACAAAACTCTGGACCAATAATACTAACGTTGGGGAGTCGGCCTGTGTTGTGAGTGTGATGTGGGAGTGTTGAGTGAACGAGGAGTGCTGAACGGAGAATGGATTAACAATGTTTTCTGTTAATGTTTTAATGTGATCATGGAAAATTATTTTTTGTCAACAGCATACGGGTAAGTACTAGAGATTCAAGATAACAAAGCTTTATTGACTGGTGTTAAAAGTGAGAGTACTCTGGGATGAAGTACTCTGAAGAAAGTACTCTGCGGGAAAGTACTCTGGAGATGAATACCTTGCTGAAGGTTCTGGAGTCCTCCCTCTGCTGTTGTTCCTGACAGTGATTCGGTCCAACGCAGTGAGCGGTCCTTTGGGCTTTGGTTTGTAACTCTCATTTAGGGGTGTTTAAAAATTAGAAAACATATCATTTTGTTAAGTTCTGTATTTGGTCAGCTCTGCCTGATGTCACACACCGTCTGTCAATGCTGTTATGTTTTGACCAATTTGGAAAGATTGACATGGCTGCCACCCTGCAGGGAAGTGGGCATTTCGTGTGTTCTAATGTTTGCTTTTTCGAGATAAACGATAATCTACCCCTGCTTCAGGGATGACACAGTAGCCGATCATAAAGGAAATGAGCCTCTACTTTGGCACCAAAGCCCACAATTCGAATTGAGGACGATCGGGAGGAAAACATGGAGCTGATTGGAACAGTTATCTTACACCACACACACAGACGCAGGTTTTACATTGGGCCCATGACTCAAAGAGAGGGAGTATTGTTATTGTCATAGGTGGTCATGGTCCTTAAACCTTTCTAAAATCATTAGAAAAAGTGTAAACTATATTTACTAAGAAACAATAAATAATAGAAAGAGCAGCCTAAAGCAAAATGGCGAAATTTATTAACGTAATTTTTCGTGGAGTTGCCAAAATAAATTAAATTCTGTATTTGTTCCATAGGGGGTCATTCTAAATTTAGTGTTGTGCAAATTCAAAAAGAGAAATAATAGCGCTTATAACAACAAGCAGATCTACTCTTTAAGATAATAGATCATATTAATAATAATAATAGGAATAGATTGAAATAGTCTGGAGCTATCATAAAAAAAAAATGTCATTGGATTCAAGGCGTAGTAGGTTGGAAAGGGTCGCTAAGAGAGGGTGGTCAGAATAAACAATAGTAATAATAGTTAGACTAGTGAATTATCATCCACCCCCCCCCCATCTGTCTGCAACGCACCAATCCACCACCTATGCAAATCAACACACCTGTTGTTCAGCGGGAGAGAGAGGACAACAAGAGGAGAGTCGACGCAGTTGAGACGAGGGCAGAGGAGAGAGCACCGTGTGAGGAAGGACAACAGCGCGCACCCACCCCCCCAGCCAGACAACGCGGAATACACGTAGAGGCAGGACAATCAGACCCTGCCTTGCCAGTGAGTACTGCTCTATCTATGTGTGTGGTGCATGGTGCATCAGAAGCTTTGGGCTGAAGTGTTTGGAGTATCGTGTGTGGCTGGCCTGTGTGTGCTGTGTGTCAGGGCTTGAGATCTGCGCTGGACGGAAGGAACAAGCGCGGTTTGGGGGAAAGCTGAGAGGCCAAATCGAGCAGTGGGAGAGCGAGGAGCTCTCCCTGTCAGTGAGTACCGCCAAACGCAGCACTCCGCTATACGGAGTGGCCTTGGGCCTTAGCGGTTGGGTGTAGTGGACTTGTGTGCTGGCCTTTGCCTTTTGCCCAGGTGCGCCATCCGTGGGGCAGTGCAGGACCCGGACGATCTTCCCCTCCCCCCCCAGCGACTCCTGCTGCTGGATTCGGGCCTCCTCCTCGTTGTGCCTCGTTTTAACTAACTTTACCATTTCTTAACCTTTTTAAATAGCATTTTAAAGCTTGTTTTTTAGTTTTGTAATAAACCTGGTTTTAACTGTACATCTGTTTCATCGTTATTGGCCACACCAGCCTGCTCTCATTTTAGTTTTCAGTTTATTTATTTGGCACCATTTTAATTTACCACTTTTTAGTCTGTTTACACACAAACCCCCCATTACATATTTTGGCGTTGCTGACAGGATTCATTTCTCTGAGAGCTGGTGTGTCCAATAAGGATTTAATATGATGATGCCCGTGTACCCTGGGGCGCCTTGGCTTCCGAAATTTAAAGGGCCAGATGGCGACGTAAAATACTGTGATTGGAAAGAACAAATTAAAGGGCTTTTGGGCTCTCAGGATTTAACAGAGGCAAGGAAAGTAAGTATTGTGTTGGGAGCGCTAACGGGAGAGGCAAAGCGACAAATTACAGTTTTGGATACAGATGAAAAAGATCAGACTGCTAAAATTTTTGTATACCTGGATTCACTTTATGGTGACCAGACCCCTGTACCAATTTTAAGGTCCAAATTTTTTAGCTGTTCACAAGGAGCTGATGAGCATGTGCAATCCTTTATATTAAGGCTACGTGAATTATGTAGTAGGTTGCGACATCAAGACCTAGAGAGCGCCCCCTCCGACGGTGCCTTGCGAGACCAATTGCTGCTTGGACTCCGAGATGGTCCCCTCGCCCAAGCTCTTAAGGTCTACGCTCGCCGCCACCCCGACCTGGATTTTGCTGACCTGCGCCAGGAAGCCCTGCTGCTAGACTCCGAATATGGCCACCCACGACCAGAGGTAACGTGTTCAGCAATTAATAAACAATATGGCTCCCCTAGACCCCCACAGGATATTGACTGGAAGGAACAACTCAAGCGAGAGATCATGGACGATGTCCAGGCCCAGATGAAGGGGCTTACGAAAGATATTGTGGTGGAGCTTAAACCACTACTGCAGTCAGCCTCCCCACAACCTAGTTCTCCAAATCCAACTTGGAACCGGCCGTACTCACCCAGACCCTACAATGATCGGGACGAACAGGGTAGACCTATTTGTCACCGCTGCAGAAAAGCAGGTCACATAGCACGATACTGTAGAGGTGCAGCTACACCCGAACCAGCTTTAAACTAATTACCCCTGCTGCTGAGGTCCAAGTAGCAGGGCTTGCGAACATGTCACAACCAACAAGGGCCGCCGAAACATTTGTTGGCCAATGTCCTACAATAGAAATAGCCATTGAAGGGGTTCAATTGAATGGGCTCTTGGACACAGGGTCTCAGGTTACATTGATGGCAGAGAGTGTGTTTAAGGCACATTTTACACAAGCTAAACTTGGCAGGGCGCCTACCTTGTTCCGACTAAGGGCCGCCAACGGTCTAGAGATACCCTATATTGGTTATGCCGTATTAGACCTTGAGGTTGAGGGTATTGGGGTCCCAGAACGAGGGGTAGTCATTGTTGAAGATGAGAAGTGTACACACCCTTTAATAATTGGTATGAATGTAATTATGGCTTGTTGGGACACTGTGTTTAAATGTTCTAGGGAGTCTGCTCTCCCCTGGGCTTTCAACAAGCAAAGAGCCTGGAGGGATGCCTTTGCCACCTGTCGCCACATTGAGGTTGCCCCTGCTGGAGATGGACTGATAGGGCATGTGAGGTTGGCTTCTAAACGTAACGTTACAGTCCCTCCCAAGAGTGAGTTACTGGTATGGGGCCGTGCAAAAATGGGTCCTGGTGGGGCAGACTACTGTGCCCTCATAGAAGCTATGCCAGGTGTCGGTGTCGGTGACGTGGGTGTTGCAAAGGCCCTGGTTGAGGTAAAAAAGGGTAGAATTCCTGTGCGCGTTTGTAATCCGCATCCATACAGTGTTTCCATAGGTCGATTTAAAAAATTGGGGCGGCTTTACTATATCGACGATTCGGACGTGCATGGTACTAATGACCTTGCCCTGACTGTGGAAGAGGACGGAGTTGTTCAGGTGGCTTTGGTGAATGCTAACGTTGAGCCCTTAAGCTCCGAACTGCCTGCAGAGAAGAGCATACTGGGGGACCGGCCCGATTTGTCTGCACGACAGCAGGGGGAGCTCCACGCCCTACTACAGAAGTGGGAGAGTGTTTTCGCGCAGCACAAAGAGGATTTTGGGCGGACAAACATAGTGCAGCATAGAATCCCGACAGGGGATGCTGCCCCCACTCGAGAGAGGTATCGGCCGATTCCACCCATGCTGTACAAGGAGATGAAGACCCTCCTCGCAGGTATGCTCGAACAGGGGGTTATACGGGAGAGCTGTAGCCCCTGGGCCGCCCCTATAGTCCTCGTGCGCAAAAAAGATGGCAGCTGGCGTTTCTGCGTAGACTATAGGAAATTGAATGCCGTAACACATAAAGATGCATTTCCGTTGCCCCGCATTGAAGAGACCCTGACCAGTCTAAGCCAGTCAGAATGGTTTTCGACCCTGGACCTTGCCAGTGGTTACTGGCAGGTCGATATGCACCCTGATGATAAAGAAAAAACAGCTTTTACCACGCCGCTCGGTCTATACGAATTTGAGCGTATGCCGTTCGGGCTTTGTAATGCACCAGCAACATTCCAGCGATTGATGCAGCAATGCCTTAATGGACAGATAGCAGAGTCACTGCTAGTGTACTTGGATGACGTCATTATATACTCTGCTGACTTTTCCTCCCATCTCCAGCATCTGGATCAGGTGTTTGAGCGACTGTGGCGCCATGGCCTGAAACTACGCCCAGACAAATGCAGACTCCTACAGCGAGAAGTGACCTTCCTGGGGCATGTGGTAGATCAGCAAGGTGTGAGACCAGATCCAGGGAAGGTCCAAGCGGTCTTGGATTGGCCTGTCCCAACCACTATCAAACAGGTTAGAGCGTTCCTTGGACTAGCGGGGTACTACCGGCGTTTTGTTGTAGGTTTTGCTAAGGTGGCACGCCCCTTGAATAGACTTTTAACTGGCATCCCTGCTGATAAGCGGTCACAATCTAAAAAAGTGACTTGGACTACTGAGTGCCAGTCTTCATTTGACTCTTTAAAAGCTGCACTTACTCAGGCTCCTGTTCTTGCCTACGCCCATTACGATAAGCCTTTCATTGTGTATACAGACGCGAGTAATCAGGGGCTCGGTGCTGTGTTATCGCAAGTTCAGGATGGCCACGAACGGGTAATAGCCTACGCGAGTAGAAGCCTCCATCCAACCGAACAAAATGATGCCAACTACAGCTCTTTTAAACTTGAACTGTTGGCCCTTAAATGGGCTGTGACTGAAAAATTCAAGGATTTTCTGACCGGAGCAGAGCTGACCATCTACACAGACAACAACCCTCTGGCCCATCTACAAACGGCACACCTGGGAGCGGTAGAGCAACGCTGGGTGGCACGGCTTGCCTCCTTCAACTATTCGGTGAAATACCGTTCAGGTAAAAATAACACCAATGCGGACGCACTGTCCAGATTTCCTGCTCCTGTAAGGCAGGTCATGGGGCCATTGAAGGAGTCTGACACGGGACCAGTTACTGCAGCAGCCGTCGAGATAGTGCCTGAGGCTGGATGGAGAGAGGCTCAAGATGCTGACCCAGACATCCAGGTGATCAAGGAGTATGTTGCGAGGAAGGACTTCCCAAAACGGCCTGTCCGCTTGACACTCCCCCAACGAGCCCAAAAACTACTCCAACAATGGAAGAGGTTGGTGGTGAGAGGTGACCTATTGTACCGGACTGTCATTGATGGACTGACCCATGAGGAGCACAATCAGGTTGTGTGTCCGAGTTCTAGGTGTGAGGAGGTCTGGAGGAAGCTTCATGAGGCTGGGGCCCACTGCGGCGTCGATAAGACCCTCGCCCGGATCCGTCGGCAGTTCTACTGGCCCGGTATGGAGGGGGAGGTACGAGCGTTTAATGAGAGATGTAATATGTGTTGCCTTCAAAGGAGCAGTGTTGAGCCAAAAGCTCCGCTCCACCCAATTGAGACTACTTATCCGCTCGAAGTTATTGGGTTAGACTATTTGACCTTAGGCCGACCCACCGACACATATCAAAATATCCTTGTTGCTACTGACAAATTCACTCGTTTTGCTTGGGCCATACCCACTATTGATCAATCCGCGCACACAACTGTAAAAATGCTTTGGAAGCACATAATACAGCCATTTGGCTGTCCAGCGCGTTTTCATTCAGATCGTGGCCCAAACTTTGAGTCTGCCCTCATGCAACAACTTTGTGATTTGTATGGAATAGCTAAAAGTCGTACCACGTCCTACCACCCTGCGGGCAATGGCGCCGTTGAGCGTTTCAATCAAACCTTGCTAAATATGCTCCGCTCCTTAGAAGAGGAAAAACAGCGCTGTTGGCAAAGTTTCGTACCAGAGTTGGTTCATGCATATAATAACACGGTGCATAGTGCCACGGGTTATGCCCCTTCGTTTCTGATGTTCGGTAGACATCTGCGACTTCCTGTAGACGTAGGCCTAGGTTTAAGTTCCCAGCAGCAGCCATACAATCTTACAGGGTGGGTAAAAGACCACCATAATAAACTTTCTTCGGCCTATGTCCTAGCTCGGAAAAGAGCAGCTGATGCAGCCTCCCAACACAAAAGACAGTTTGACAAAAAAGCTAAAGCCTTGCCTCTGGTACCTGGGGAACGTGTGTGGTTACGCAATAGACGCCGGGAGGGGAGGGGTAAGCTAAGCCCATGGTGGGACCCTGACCCCCACGTGATTTTGGACTGTGTGGGGAACACTGGGGTTGTGTACAAAGTACGTCCTGAAAAAGGGGGCCGCGAACAGACTGTGCACAGGAATGCCCTAAAATTATGTACTGTCCCTCCGGCTGACCCAGAGCCACCTCCCAGAGAACTGTCCCCTCAAACGCCGGGGCCCGCTTTTCCTGTACTATACGGGTTTATGCCAAATGTACCTGAGGAGTTCGATGCGCCTCAAGATCTGCCCCGTCGTTCAACCCGTGTGAACTTTGGACAACGACCGCCCCGTTATGAAGACTAGTTCCGTGTGTTGCAGGGACTGGCAAACACAAGGTGTGGGGGGGTGTAATCGGGTCACAAGGGGATGGCGTGTGTGCTATTTTTGTTGGTTTGCTGTGTTTGTTTTCCCATGTTTTTGAGTTACGCCCCCTCGTTGGTTACTATGGTGACCCCCCCCGCCCATCTGTCTGCAACGCACCAATCCACCACCTATGCAATCAACCCACCTGTTGTTCAGCGGGAAAGAAACGACAACAAGAGGAGAGTCGACGCAGTTGAGACGGAGGCAGAGGAGAGAGCACCGTGTGAGGAAGGACAACAGCGCGCACCCACCCCCCCCAGCCAGACAACACGGAATACACGTAGAGGCAGGGCAATCAGACCCTGCCTTGCCAGTGAGTACTGCTCTATCTATGTGTGTGGTGCATGGTTCATCAGAAGCTTTGGGCTGAAGTGTTTGGAGTATCGTGTGTGGCTGGCCTGTGTGTGCTGTGTGTCAGGGCTTGAGATCTGCGCTGGACGGAAGGAACAAGCGCGGTTTGGGGGAAAGCTGAGAGGCCAAATCGAGCAGTGGGAGAGCGAGGAGCTCTCCCTGTCAGTGAGTACCGCCAAACGCAGCACTCCGCTATACGGAGTGGCCTTGGGCCTTAGCGGTTGGGTGTAGTGGACTTGTGTGCTGGCCTTTGCCTTTTGCCCAGGTGCGCCATCCGTGGAGCAGTGCAGGACCCGGACGATCTTCCCCTTCCCCCCCCAGCGACTCCTGCTGCGGGATTCGGGCCTCCTCCTCGTTGTGCCTCGTTTTAACTAACTTTACCATTTCTTAACCTTTTTAAATAGCATTTTAAAGCTTGTTTTTAGTTTTGTAATAAACCTGGTTTTAACTGTACATCTGTTTCATCGTTATTGGCCACACCAGCCTGCTCTCATTTTAGTTTTCAGTTTATTTATTCGGCACCATTTTAATTTACCACTTTCTAGTCTGTTTACACACAAAACCCACATCACATCTGAATGCCTCTCTGTGTTCTCTGCGTGTGATAGAGATCGGCCTCTTCTGAGGGACAGTTGCAAACTGGAGCACCAAAACGAGGGATCCCATAACTCCGGTGTTAAAATGTCTTCACTGGCTTCTCGTGGATACAAGCGGTCGAAATGAGCTTCCTCTGCAGAGTGGCCGGGCGCTCCGTTAGAGATCGGGTGAGGAGCTCAGTCACAGGGGAGGAGCTCAAAGTAGAGCCGCTGCTTCTCCACGTTGAGAAGAACCAGTTGAGATGGCTCAGGCATCTGTTCCGGATGCCTCCGGTTTCTGGACTCCTCCCTGGGGAGATGTCCACCGGGAGGAGACCCTGGGGAAGACCCAGCACACGCTCTCAGCAGACCTGGGAACAACTGGGGGCTTTCCCGGATGAGCTGGAAGAAGTGTGTGTGGATAGTGAAGTCTGGGCGTCTCTGCTTAGACTGCTGCCCCCGCGACCGGATGAAGCGGAAGAAAATGGATGGATGATTGTTTTTTATTTATTTTTTATTAGTCTATGCCATAGTACATACATACATGATGTATATTAACTTTACATTTATGCAACATGAGCACACAGGAACAGAAGGAAGACAAAGTCTTTTTAACCTTTTCACCCCCACCAATATCCATCACCCTACCCCAACATCACCTGTCACCAATGTAGCATCTTACAATCCTATTCAATAACAACAAACTTACTGCACGCTCAAATGTTTTCATGTTCTTAATATTCAGTCATCTTTTTGTCCTTATACATTTTTTAAAAATGGAAGATATTAGATTCACATTTCAGTAAGTCGCTCTGAGCGTTCAATAAACGAACACCACAGACAGACACTTCTGTTTCGTTGAAGTTCTTGTAAATTCACTTTTGAAAATATGTTTCCGTCTGTAGATTGAGTCTAACAATAATTTTAACCTCTCTTGAACGGCTTCAGGCAATAGCTTGCGTTTGGCTTTTCATACAATTAACAACATTCGCAGATTGACCAATTCTTTAAACTTAAGTAGTCTGGATATTATAAACACGGTCTTTGTATGGTCTCTGAATCCCTTTTTAATACAATTCTAATAGCTTTTTTTTGTAAGAGAAACAGAGGTTTTGTTTGTAGAATACGTGTTCCCCAGACTTTGGCACAATATGTCAACTATGACGAAATCAAGGAGCAATACAATGTGTGGAGTGACTTACAATCAAATACAGCTGTAGCTTCCTATAAAATACAGATACTTTTACTTATTCTACTTTTTACAGTTTCCAGTTTAACTTTTCATCCAAAATGACTCCCAAAAATGTTAGCTAGTTACTCTTTCTCTGTTAACTTTATCAATGAGAACTTTTGAGATATCTTTTTTTACCTGGTTTATATGGTATGGTATGGTATGGTAGGGTTTTTATTTTTACGGGGACAATAAAAATTAGCCAAAAGGAGGGATGCATTGTACCAGGTTGTAGCAGCAGTGCTAACTCACACCTGTAGTCCCTGAGCATGTTGTTATGTCACTTAGATTGCTCCCAGAGTGAGTATCCTTCCAAATCAAAGTTTTCACCTTTATTCATACAAGGCCATGTTTCTGAGAGGGCTACCATTTTGAATGTGTGCGTTAGAGAGCTCACGTAATCTTGAAAATGAAAAATGAAATTGGCATAAATACTCCGAATGTGAAAGTGGGCAATTGTCCCCCCACATTGTATGATAAAAAAACAAAAACAAAAAAGCATTTAAATCAAACTCATTATCTGTATAGTGATAAAATGTATCTGTAAATGTTATGCAAACAGTTATTGACAGGATCTGTATCTCTGTCAAAATCGAGCAATCTATATTCTATTGACATCTGATTTTCAATTGTTAAGTTAACGTATGATTATTATATTTAATGGGCTGTATGTAGAAAGATAATATGTAATGCATGCATCAAATATTTATTTTCATTACTGCAACATAGAACAGAAAAAACAGAAACAAGGCAAACAAATATATCAGAGATGTGAGTGACCCTCTCAAACTACCTCAAGTCGTCAGCCCCGCCTCCTCTCCTCCTTCCCATCTTCCCATTCAGAAGAGGAAGGCGTAGTTCATCGCCTGGTGAAAAGTTGCCCATCTCCCTAAGTGTCATATGTAGATGTGTAGATTTTATGTGCGTCTGTCTTCAAACAGACTGTCATGTTCGTAAACACACGAGAAACAAACAGCAGTATAAAGCAGGCTTACCAGTCTGGATCATATCAGGGCTGGCTTTATGTTGAAGATTTTACTAAAACAGAAAAATGAATACAATTGTTCTCAAACTCTAAAACAAACAATACAATACAATACAATTTATTCTTGTATAGCCCTAGGTCACATCAGAAGTCATCTCAGAGGACTTAACAAAACCATTGAAATCACCAACACAGATCAGAGAATCAACAGTTAAAACACATGAAGAATATAAAGCACACACAGAAGAAAATGTCCATACATGTTGTAGAATGCTGAAGTGTCCTGATCATCACCAATCCTTTCTGTTGGACACTAACTACCCAACAAGACCCTCCTGCATCGGCAAGGAAAAACTCTTAAAAAACCCAGTGGGAAAAAGTGAGAAACCTTGGGGAGAACTAGGGAAACCCACAGGGAGGGAGACCCATTTGAGAAAGGGATCCGCTCCTCCGGACGGACAGGCTAATGATCTAGGACCTAAGCTAGCTACAGAACGTGGACCAGTGGCCGCTGAACGTTACATCTTGTTTATCCTGCTGGTCTAAGGCCAATGAGACTGCGCTCAAACCCCTTACATATACGTATATAATCAGGCTTTAATCCTTCTGTAATGTTCATATTGTTGTTACTCAGCCAGTGTTTGTGGGTCTGATGAAACCATTGCATTTTGTGGCTTTTATTACTTAACAATCACAAATTTATGTTAAAATACTGAACAGATGTTTACCTTATCCCAATTACAAGCAGTATAAACAACTACTGGTTACTACTTGTCTACCCCTCCTTTTGTGGGACTATAATCCATGATGATCTCAGGTTTGTGATGTTCCCAGTCACAGATTCTTCCATCCTTGAGTACCACATTCTTGCCTTTCTTTGGCACATAGGTTACCAGTTGTTTGCTGTATGTTGTATGTGCTTGAACTGGATTCCGCATCCTCTGTGGCTGCAGCGTTCTGACCCGGGGCAGCTGTGGCCGCTTTGTAGTAACAGAGCTACAATTACAGTGTCCCGCCTCCAATTTATAGCAGACAGAGTGTGAGAAAATGACACTTTTGAGTAAGTTTAAATTGCTCCGTTTTGACAATTTATTTACACACAAAAATCAAAGAAGCATTTTCAAAATCAAATGATGTAGCTCCACCAACCTCTGAAATTTTTTGTCAAGTTTTGTGATCCCAAAAAGATTGTCGGCTTTTGCACAATTGGCCTTCTCATTTCGCACCACTAAACAGTGGAGCAAGCTTCCAGACAGTCTGAAATTGTCTGATGATCTGAAACATTTTAGAATAAAAAAAGCACATTTTAGACCATCAATTGTGTCAACATCAATGAACATTAATAGCTTTAAAAATTGTATTAGTTTATTTTAGTCTATGCCATTTCAGAGAAATGTAAAATGTTATGTATTTATGGTTTTATTTTTTTTGTGAGGTAAGTTTGTTTTTATAATTGTGTGTTCATCTGCCCAGGGACTACAGCTGGAAAGTAGATACAGCTAAATCTGGTATTGTACATTGTCCCTGTTTTATAAACTATAAACTAAACTAAACCCTGGTCAGACCAGGTGTACAACAAGACTACACCAGGACTGAACCAGGACCAAACCAGGACCAAACCAGGTCTAAACTAGGTCTAAACCAGGCCTCAACCAGGTCTTAACCAGGACCAAATTAAAACTAAACCAGGTCTTAAACAGGACTGAACCAGATCTGAATTAATGCCTCTCTGTGTTCTCTGCATGTGACAGAGGTCGGTCTCTTTTGCTTTTGAATATTAAAATGGAGCTCTTCGCGAAAATTCACTATGGTAGACCCGGCCGCTGCTACAAGCCTGCTCATCCTCTACTCATTACACCAGCAAAACGCCCACATCCAATCCACCAATAACCACCAGGACAGCAAGTTAAAAGCCGGAGACGCCCACTTCCCGGCCTTCTGAAGTCTGCAAACTTCTGAAGCCTGCAAGGTGCATGTCGCTAACGCACCTGTTCGCAAATGCATGCGTTGTTCTGGAGGGGTCGCTTCTGCTCACGTGTTGCTCGTGCGCGTGGCCCGGCTGTCCTCAGTCTGGCTGCTCGTGGTCTGCTCCTCCTCCGCATCCCTGCACCTGCTGTGGTTCGCGTGTCTCCACATGCTCTCCTCCTCTGCGGGCTCTTCTGCGGGCTGCTCCGCGGGCCCCCTCCGCGGGTTCTGTGCTGCTCGTTCCTCGTGGTCTGCTGTAGAGCCCTGCACTTGAGCCCTTGGCCCGAGGGCCCCGACGGCCCGACAGCCCGAGGGCCGGGCTTCGGGCCGATGACCGCATAATGACCTCGGACACGGGCCGGGCTCGGGCTCTTCATTTTCAGGGCGGCAGAATACATTTACGAGCGCACCCACTGAATATAGCGTTCTATCACGGTGTAGTGTTTATTGTTCTGTGTAGTGTTGTCATTGACGG